TTCCATCACCTGCACGAATTATGAACCCTAGGTATTTGACCTCTTTACACAGAAACTCGCATTTGCTAATGTCTAAGTATAGTCCTGCCTTACTCAGCTTGCGAAGAATACTTCGCACCGTGTTCCAATGTTCATCTTCACTACCGCTAGTGTAAGCAAGTACATCATCCATATATGCTGTCGCATCGAGATCCAAGTGTTCACGAAGTTGCTCGTTGATGTACCTCTGAAAGGTAGCGGGCGCATTTATTAATCCGAAGGGTGTTACAAGCCATTCAAAAAGTCCCAGCCTGCATCGAAATGCTGTCAGCCATTCGTCTCCTTCCCTTATTCGAAGTCGATGAAATGCCGACTTGACATCCAGCTTCGTAAACCATCTTGCCTTTGATAGTTGCCGGAGAGTTTCCTTGAACAAGGGTAGAGGGTATCGATCTGGCGTGGTTATTGCATTTAACCCTCTATAGTCAACACACAATCGCAAACCTCCATTTGGCTTTTTTGCAAAGAGTACTGGTGCTGCTGCCGCTGAGTTACTTGGACGAATCCATCCCTTCTTTAACAATTCCGTTAACGTTTTCCGTAGAACGAGTAGTTCCTCCCGAGACATTCCGTACAATGGCCCCCAAGGCGGGGATAGCGGCTTGCCGTCTTGCTGTTGGAGATTGATGGCGTGGTCTAGGGTACCTCGTAGTGGTGGTAATTCGTCGGCCCCACCACCGTCAGCAAAAAGGTGTGCAAACTCCCTTACCTGCTGTGGCAATTTGTCTCGCGCATTTTCAATGGTGACATTTGGCTTCGTGCGTAGAGCTTTATTAATGTCGTCTAGGGAAGCTTTGCAGACTGGCACTTCTTTAATCATGGATACCATCTTACCGACAGGTATCATCCTCGGTCGCGCGACGTTGCGCAGAGCATTTCTCCAACGCTTCGCACTATGGATCGAGATACCAATCTTACGAATTTCTAATCGCTGTTCTTTTGCATGAATTACGGCATCTTGATCCTCGAGCCATTTCTTCCCAAGTATCAATTGATGAGTACAGTGTGGGACAACATACAACCATAACTTCGGCATCACATATCCGTCCAGATCAAGAGAAATGTAAGTGATGCTATCGACCACTGGCTTATCAGTCGTTGAATTTTCGGCCGTTTCCAAAGATCGAGGGCTAATACTTATGCGCGGCAGTTGTAGTTTAGATGCCAGGTTATCATTAATAATCCCAGAGCACAAACAACCATTATCCACCAATGCTTGTAACATAGTGGAATCGTTGATAAGTGCATTAACTAGAAATGGAGATGTATTCATTATTAATTCCTGACTAACAACTGCTTTAGGCTCCTGAGTGCGACTTTGCTCAGGAGCATCTAGTTTTCCGAAAACTGTTGGCTTACACCCTCGTTTTCCTCTTCATCCTCCATTAACAGCCTCAAATCGATTGCCGGGAGAGAAGCTGGTGAAGCTGAAATACCTATGGCGCCTGGTTTTCGTGCAGGCAAGACCGGACAGATTCTCGTGTTACAGCCTTGGCGCTCACATCGAAAACACTTACCCTCCCTTTGGAGTCTCTGAATTTGCTCTGGTGATTTCCATCTTGCACGAAGCGGCTTCCCGTTCGCACCGCGTGCAATGTTAGCAGAATTAATACCTCCCATAAAAGTGTCACCTGCAGTATCAATTTCACCAACAACTCCGTACGTTCTATTAGGAGGCCTCCATCCTCCTCCGTTAGGTCTCCCTCCTCGGTTATTATGACCTCCCTCGTGGCGGGCCCAGCTGCTGACGCCACGATTATTCCTAGAGTGTCCCAATCCTTCAGGTGTGACCCAGCCTCCACTTCGATCTTGTTGGACATCTAGTTCTTCATGTTGGTGTGATATCTGACCAACAATCTTAGTCCAAGCAAAAAAGTCGTTCTGCGGTAGGAGATGATTACTGGCTAGGGCTTTTCGAAGGGTTTTGTTTAATGCTCCTTGGAGCATGGTGATTTTTGTCTCATCAGGCCACATATCTCCTCTCCCTTCTGTCAGCTTGTTTGACCAGGCGGGGAAAAAGGTATTCCACTCCTGGTTCTCTCCCATCTTTAATTTTCCCAATTCAGTCCTAGCACGGGTGATTCGGGTGAGGTCCCAGTTACTACGGTCCAGGAACCCGATAAAATCCTCAGGGCTCTCCATTCCGTTCTTCCCTCCAGTTTCAAAATATGAGCCGGCTTCCTCTTGGGCCATTCCCTCCAAAGAATTGTAAATCATGAGGAATACCTGCTGATCACTATATTCGAAGGTATTCCAGTCGAGACGTAGTGCAGATAGCACGGCTTTTCTCCAAGCGGGATATTTCTTCCTATTTCCATCGTAAGAAGGAAGTTGGCTGGGTTTTAATTTAACATTTTTCCTTGCTGGGTCTTTAAGTATCTCAACCTCTGAAGTTTCGTCGGGGGTCCTGCCGGGTAGTGCTGAGATTCCCAGTTGCATTCGAAGGCTAAGATTTTCCTCCTTCAAGGAATCGTTTTCAGCCAAGGCTGACTTCAACTCGGTGGACATTTTCTTCGTCTTCCCTGAAATTTGTGTCGTCGTTCGTGTATCGTCGTGCGTGTATCGTCGTGCGTGTATCGTCGTGCGTATATCGTCGTGTGTGTATCGTCGTTCGTCCGGAGTGGTGAGTTTTTTCTTTTTTTTTTTTTTTTTTTTTTTGAGATTGAAAATATGTCACAGTCTAAGCATAGGCACTTGAGCAACCTTATGGTCAGAGGTAGTTTATTTTCAATCTATGGTGAACTATAGATTGAAGAGGATAATAACAGTTACTTTATACATGATTATTAGCCAGGCCAATGACACAGTTTTCTATCCGTATATCCGTATCCCATCTCGTATCCCTTCTCGTATCCCTTCTCGTGCCCTATTCTTAGAGGTGTTTGCCAAGTTATAAGACCCTGCTTCCAAGAATAGTCCCTGCCTAGTTTCATGCTAAGCCTGCGTTTGACAGCGCAGGCTACAGGCAATTACCGGCTTACAAGCCGTCACACCAAATTTGAGTTGGCATCTTAGATTCTGTTGATATTGGTGGTAATCTGGTACTAGAACTGCTTACTTCAGGGGCTGGAATATCATCTGAACAGCTGTTGTCATTTTTCGGGAATAGATCCTGTACAAGGGCTTGACACTGGTCCTTGAATGAAGTAGCAATTCTCGGTTCAGTTTGGTTAGTAATTGGATCTGTTCTTTGGTAATGAAGGGCTGGAATACGGTGACATTGTTGGCTGGCAGTCCTGGTATAATTGTAAGCTGTAAAGATCAGTTTCTCTTTGGCTGAAGCAAGGAATGCTTCCCAGTGCTGGACCTTGGTATTGACAATTGCTCTGAAATAAGTGTTCCTAGCAGTTCGAGTTCTTTCTTTCTTGAATGGGCCTGGATACATCTTTGCTTGACGCCTTAGCCTATGGTATAATTTTCTTGATATTGTGAGTTCTTCTGTCCACCATGGTTTGGATTTGTTACATGGCCTTGACTGAGGGATAGAGGTACTTGCTGCCCTTTGTACCAAGTCTTGTAGTATTTCTGCAACTGAATCACAATCTTCTGATGCTATTGCCCTATCCATCAGCTGACAGGAATTGCTCTGGTTAGTGAGTAAATAATTATTGAAGCTCTGCCAATCTGCTTTCTTTAAGTTGTATCTTGCAGGTAGTAGTGGAGCTCTGAAACAATAATTATTTAGTGATTTAGGGGCTTCAGCTTTGAAGATGATTGCCTCATGGTCTGAGCCTGTACTCTCTGTATATCTCCAGTCAGACCAAAGAAGATATTTGAATTGAGAAACAAAGGCTAGATCAATGACTGAATTATTCTTTGTATTAGAGCGGTGAAATGTCCCCCCAAATTCTTCAATAACTGATGGATTCGTTAATTGTAGTGCCCTCTGTTGTTCCAGATAGTTGACTAGTTGTTGGGCTTGGGTTGAAGGTGATTGTACCAAAGGATTCCAACTAGGATGGTGCAAGTTAAAATCCCCAAGTAGGAGGAAAGGTTTGTTGTCTGGTAGCTGTAGGTCTAAAAGTCTTTGAACTGTGCAGCGCGGTTCATATGGATTCCTAGACTTCTCATTGTAAATGTGAATGATCAGAAAGCTCTCTAAGGGATGATAAACTTCGAGAATTTGGATATCTGGATCATAAATAAGGTCATATCTTGGTGTGAGCTTAAATGGACATCCCTTCTGGACGTAGGTCAATACCCTTGGTCGTAGGGTGTATCCAGGAGCTGGTACAATTGGCTGATATAATGGATGTGTTAATGGAAAATAGGTGTGTGATATTTGATCTTGGACCAAGTATGGTTCTTGAACAAAAAGTAGTGTGGCCTTCTCCTTTAAAGAAACTTCAAAGAAGGAATGGAGTATCTCCCTACCCCTAGCAGCATTGTATTGGGCAATTTTCAGTTGTCCTAACATGTTAATACTTTGAAAACCTCACAGCTATGCTTCTGAAGGGCATTGTGGGTTGGGGAGTTGCAGTTTGCACATTTGGTTTGAAAGTGGTTGCAGCCCTGAGAAGAGTGACAGGTGGCACAGCTGTGCTCGGCAGTGGAGTGTGTGCTTCGGCAGATGGCACAGATTGATGGTTTTCTACAGGATGAGGAGTGGTGACCAAATTTGAGACAGTTTCTGCACTGGGTTTTATGAGTGGTAGACTGATAATTGACTACTCTAAGTAGTAGGCCTCCAATAAGAATCCCTCTCTTATTTAATAGTTGCTTTTCATCTTCACTCTTCACTGTGAAGACTACAGATGAGTGGGCTTTTTGTGGCTGTTTTAATAGCCAGAGAGTAGGAGATGCTATGCGTCAAATGTGTGGAAATAAGGGATTTGGAGAACACTTTTGTCAGGAAGAGCTCTAATATTCTTCATTTTAGTCACACATGGGCGGCTAAGTGTGGCATAACCAGTGATGGATGGTCCCAATATAAATGATCAAAGAAATCTTGGTAAATATTACTAATTCTTGTCATTTCTTGAGAGTGGTCCTTCCCTCGGCTTTCGCTTGGCCATAGCACTTTCACACAAAGGGGGCGGGGGTCCCTGAAACTCCCAACCGTCGTCCCTCTTCACAAGCCCAATTTTCACATACTTTTTATGGTTTGCGAAAAATTCTACCCATTTCCTCAAGCTTTGATCTACTTTCTGGAAGGCTTCCCGTCGTTCTTTCTGCCTCAGGTTTTTCAAATCACCGGAGCTATATAGCGAATCGATAGTAGGGTCGTTAAGTGGTAAGAAAATTTCTTCCAAGCCTCGCATGTCTGGCGTTAGATCAACATCAAAGCAGTTTGACACGAATGCTCGGCTAGCATCTCTCCCGGAAAAAAAATGGTAGGAACCTCCAGGGCCATAGAAGCGACGACCTGGCGAAACATCGTATATGGTACCGTTGATAGCTAGTAAAATTGGTTTGCTGGGGTCAGTTCCATTGAAAGCCTTAAGATCATCGTCACTGTAATTCTGAGGCCCCATCTACGGACTTGGTTAGTCTAGAGTTTCCCATAGCCAACTGATTATGATGCTATGTTACCAGCCATGCTTTGATGACGATAGTTCGTGCCCACCTGGGTCTTTCAATACTCCATGTGAAACTTTCACGAGTGATGAAGTACGATAAAACGCTGCTAATGAGAGCGAGAAATACGAATGTTCTGAAGATATCTAGAGGATGAAATTCACTGTCTTCAGCTTTCGTTTTATCTGCAATTGATTGCTCGGGGGTTGATGATGTGGCCATATTATTTTTTCGCAGAGTATGGAATTCAGTTAATACCTCTTGTTCAGAAATAAGTCTACACGATTACAGATTATTTTACCAACCGCTTAAAATGTTTGAAATTTTAATACGCTAGTCCCTGTTGAGATATTTATTATTCTTCTGCGCAGCGCTCTAGAGCGGGGCCACAACTTTTGGCAACAGAATACCATACAATAGAGATAGGTGAGTACTTTGGCTATTATCTCACTCATAAATATTAATTCCAGAGTTTCCTGCAAGCTCAAACTGGCGATTTGCCAATCAAATTCACCTCCCTATCTATAATACTTGTTTGGTTTCTAGTCCACACATTACCCAGAAATAGCCGCTTTGGGATTTGATATGATTTTTCACATAAGGCTTGCTGAATAATAGCGTTTATGCTCACTCTCATTAATCTAGGCATAATCTGCGCCGTTCGAAAGGAAACTTGGAATGATTAGAGGCACAAATCCAGGTTTATTTATTCAGCAGCCGCAACGGCGCGAGCTATAGCTGTTAGTACTATTGAGGTAGAGACTTCAAGTTATGCATACTGTAAATTTGCAGTTTGCTGTGGCCTACAACTTTCTTGATCTGACCCTTCTCTTCTAAATCTTTAAGACACCTTCGGGCGAGGGATCCGTTAATTTTTAAGCGATCAACTAGCGTGGCGACAGTTACTAGACGATAAGACTGGACATCTTTGTAAAGTTTATCAGACGTGGCTTTGTCTAGAATGACGACGTGTTGAGCCTTATCCTTGACTGTACTGTGTTAGATATCATTGCTCGGGATTTGTGAGGCTGTAAAACCTTTGCCCTTGGACCACTACACTTGAAGTTAGTAATTTAAAAAATGTTATCAGGACAAATCTACCTTCTTCTTTTGCTTCTTAGCTCCAGTGTTCGCGGGAGCTGAATATGGTCAGTTATTTATTTGAGGGAGTTTTAGTTGGCATTTGCGTAGACTCCATTAGAGTTTCATAGCCATCCAGTTTATATTTTGTATACATACCCATTTTGTGTTAAGGGGTGTGTTTATTTCGAAGTGGTCAAGCTCGATGTCGGTGGTATAGCTGTTTCAGAACTCCAAATGGTGTTGAAGAACAAATGAATAAGCTTCGCTTACTGTGACTATTATCACGTGCTAAGGGCTGCAATCTGAAAAAGCCCTCGACTAGCACTAGGCAATCCTGGCATAATCAATTTTGAACAAATTCCATCAAATATCAACAATCTTCAGCGTACGCCCAGCACCAAAGCTTCCTTTACAACAAGACCTTCGGCCATCGCCTCAATCATGTCTGACTCTGCGGGAGAAATCGAGGTCGAATCGGACAACAGCCAACAAATTCTCCCAAAGGAAGTTAGGGCTGAAATCGGCAGCATTAAACTATTCAACAAATGGAGTTATGAAGATGTCGAGATTCGAGACATATCTTTGACGTATGTTTATTCTCTTGCGACAATTCTTCAAACATACAATCAAACTCATTCGCTAGACAAAAAAATCGTCGAATTGAGCTAATGTTACTTGTAGCGATTACATACAGATACGCGCTCCAGTCTACATATCTCACTCTGCCGGTCGTTTCGCACAAAAACGTTTCCGAAAAGCTCAGTGCCCTATCATCGAGCGTCTCACAAACTCCTTGATGATGAATGGACGAAACAATGGAAAGAAGCTTATGGCCGTGAGAATTGTATCTCATGCATTTGAGATTGTAAATTTACTTGGCTACATGAAATGAAGAAGCTAACCCACATAGATTTACATTATGACCGATCAAAACCCTATCCAGATTTCCGTTGACGCTATCGTAAATTGCGGACCTCGAGAAGACAGTACTCGTATTGGATCGGCCGGGACTGTTCGCCGTCAGGCTGTCGATGTTTCTCCTCTTCGTCGTGTAAACCAAGCAATTGCACTATTAACAATTGGTGCTCGTGAAGCCGCTTTCAGAAATATTAAAAGTGTAGCCGAGTGCTTGGCCGAAGAGCTTATTAACGCTGCTAAAGGAAGCAGCAATTCGTATGCCATAAAGAAAAAGGACGAGCTGGAGCGTGTAGCAAAGAGTAACAGGTAGAGCCTCTCAAGGCCTAATCTCATTTTGTTGTACGTAATGGCGATTATTGGATGCACTCAGTGCATATTGGCTCAATTTAATGTGAAAGCCGGTTAAATTATTCTCGTATAATATGGTAGCAACTGAAGGTTTTCATATCCATTCGTTTGCCTGAAATCCTAATAAACAATCTCAAGCACTATTTTCGGTATATAGTGCCGAGTTGTAAATACTAGGAAATCTACTTCTTGAGTCAGCCCTTTTGATATGAAACTAACCAAGTTCGTTTAAAATGGCATCATCGGATCTTCAACTGAGAATCTGTTCAAGGTTAATTGACACTAAAAATGAAATCCCGATTTCTTTTGCACGTCTATATTATCAGTGAGACCGAGTTCTGCTCTATAAGGCAGCACCTCATCAGCCTACACTAATATTTGGTAAACTCGACATCAAGCACTCGCTCACACATGAATTATTTCAGATCCCACAAATATATGATCAGTAAAGACGACAGTAGACAATAATGTAGACCATAAGGTCAACGCAATCTAATACCTAGACGCAGCAATCTCTGAGGGATTTATTTGAAGATTAAATTGGGCTGGCCAACAATTGCACTCTTTACATTGCTAACGGTTAGGCCAAAAACATAGCCATACAGTGATATCTTAAACTCAATGCTGGTTGCATCTAAATCCTAAACAATAAGTCATACTGCATTCTTGATTTCATATTGGAATGAATGGTTGGTGAGAAACTGCCAGTCCAACTTTTCAAAACTTTGTGATCCAAGCAAGAAATCGCGATTTACCTAAATCTGTAGTTTTTCCTTGCTAGAGATTAACAATCCACATCACACCCAAAATAGCCTAGAGACTCAAATTTGAAATGAGTACATGGGGCTCAATTCATAATTATACAGTGGAAAAATACTTCATTCTACAGTCCATGCCCTAAATTTCTTTAACTCATATTGTATTCAGCTATTTAGCTTTGACAACCCAAGCCGTCCATGCGACTGCCAATCGCAGAACCCCAAGCAGATGATGATGCCTTGCCCTCGATGGTCAAATGGAAGAGAATAGAATCGGAGAAAAGCCAAAGATCGGTCCTACGAAGCTATGATAAACAATCCTGGCAATGTCAAAGGATAACAAAGTGGATCGTAAATTATAGTTAGATAGAGCAAATCCAGATGACAAAGGCGGTCGAAATGCTGCTGAGGTAGGGGAACAGGTCAAACAATTATGGGGGTCCGTAGAGATGATGTGATTGGTTTACATGGAACGCACTTTGGTGTGTGTGTTTTTATTGTACTACTTGAGCCATAGACCATCTATATTCAAATGTATAACCCACTACTTAGTTCGTGGACTTATAGGTAGAGGGAAGCTTATGCAATAATGAAGGTTAAGAGGATGTCAATTCGACTACTCTACTAAACACAGGTACCAGACTCATTTTAATCCCAATAGATAGCCCGTGCGGAGTCTTCTACAGTGCCCTAGGTTGGAAAAGGTAAAACTTCAAACTGGGTTGTTTAAGGGATATGCCCTGTAGGCGCAATTGGGCTAGCTTGTAACAGGTTAGTATGGTTCAATCGTCTTATTCTAACAATCGTTAGAGAGATACATTTTCAACGACATTTTTGTCTGCGCATCCCTTCGTCAACAACACCACTATCATTTCATCCTCTATTCTAGCAAACAATGTCTCTCGAAAAGTCTGCTTTAGAATCTAAAGTTTGCAAGCATCTATTTCGCGATCAATGTATTGAAATAAGAGCTTTAGAAGACTTTGCTTGACATTACATCATATCCGACGAACTTGGCATCACTATAAGGCAAGTGCAACTTGCGTGCGCTCGAGAGACTGAGAATTCTATATCCCGCAAAGGAAGCTCACCTAAATTAAGTGCGGAGCAATTTGATGAGCTCGAGGCTTTCGTCCAGGAATCTCCTGAAAATCGACAGATGTGCTATTTGGAACTAGCAACAGGACCCTTTAGCCACCAGGGATGAAATGAGCATTATCTTTCAAATGCCCTCAACAAAATGGGTTACAGCAGATGCATTGCTCGGAAGAAGCCTCCGTTAAGTGTGGTTAACATGCACGAAAGATGTGTAGCAGTGATAAAGGAAAATGGAGGGTATACAAAGTCTTAGAATGGAGCAGACTAACGCAAAACATGTCGCACGTTATCATCTTAGCTGCGAGCTATACTGAGGACTTCGATGTACACTTTTGTAATACAGAGCGATTATTTTTGAAATAGTTGTGTATTCTTAGATAATATCAATTGATTTTTTTAAATTTAAAATTTAAATGAGGACCATTGTACATTTCATTTAGAGTTGAAAACCATCCCCGTAATTTGGACTTTCACGGAATATCATTGGGTAGTAACCCTTGCTTACATGACTAGTCGAGAAACTAGACATGGGCCTGCATGAAGACTATACCTATTAAGGCAAAATGCACAGGGATCTAACCCCAGTCATTTCGACAACTGTATTTTTGATACCCATAAGAGACTGTAACTGAATAATATAATGTGGATCTAAATTTGATTTTGTCGGAAAGTAGTTCAATTTGTTCTGCACTAAACGTAGTGCGTCTCTCAGTTGCTGAGTCATTGTCTTGATGACTCAGCCAATTCCACGAACTACACGTTCGCAATGTTCATTCATAGACAATTACTGTAACAATAATAACAAGAATCCATACCCCACTTTCGTAGCTTTCATTTTGCATTGAACTAACCTTACGTGTACATAAATTAAGGCCAATCGATAGATTTTAAATCATCCTGATTTAGCGCCCTTTGGGCCCTCGCAGGTGTCAATGAAGTGTAATATTTACACGAGAGGAAAATTCTCGGTGAATACTCTCTTGCTTTCTAGTTTATATCTTGAGTATCCCACGAAAGACTCATTCACATCATGAGGCCACAATGGATTCCTCTATGGATAACTAACTTTACCAAGTCATTTCTAGAAGAGAGGTCTACCTCAATAGCCCTTGGATCGTTCAAAGGAGGAAGTATCGACACAAATACAGGGATACCTCAGGGCTCTCCGCTTTCACCAATTCTCTTCTTATTCTTCGCTTGCACCTTACTCCCTCTACTTCAGACAGAATCGTCATAAGCGATCGGATTTGTGGACGATACCAATCTGATAACATGGTCAAACACAACTGAAGAAAACTGCCGCAAACTTGAGGAACTCCACGAAAAATGTGCTTCATGGGCAACGAAGCATGGGGTTAAATTCGCACCAGAGAAATATCAGTTAATGCATTTCTCGAGGGCCCGGAAACGTCATAGTCTGAACGCTGCTATCCAAATACAGAGTCATGAGATTACCACAAATTGTCTCTTCGATGTCTTGGAATTCGGTTGGACCCCAAGTTAAACTGGGCATCCCACGTTAAAAGATTACAGGCAAATGCGGAGTCACAGATGCAGGCATTGAGTCAACTAACTCAGTCAATGTGGGGTGCGAATGTCAACAAATCACGACTATTATGTAACTCGGTAGTAAGACCAGCGCTTACCTATGGATCCCCTATCTGGGCCAGAACTGGACCGGTAGACATTATCCCTGAAAAGATACTCAAGCCACTCAGAAGTGTGCAAAGAAAATTCCTAAAGATCTTTACGGGGGCATACCAGTCGACCAGTAGTAGAATGCTAGAGCATGAAACGTCAACTCTCCGGATAGAGATCAACCTTAAACAAAGGCGGCTTCAATATACCGGGCTATCCAATAACCTACCCATTCAATAGACAATATCAACTGCACGCAGAAAAATCAAATATTTTGACGACGGAAATTTAAGTAACGCAATCAAAATAGGAGAGATGATACAGCGGAATGGACCTTAATCTGCAGCAACATCGAGTCTAAAACAGGACACAAAGTAGCCAGCAAGAACGCCGCGTTCAAGGAATGGTCAGAATCGTGGACGAGCCAGAGGAAGGAACGACACTTGGGACCCCGAGCGCAAGCCAATTCGGATAAGTGGAATGCTGCAAACTTATACAACGACAAAAAAACAGGTAGACTTATGATGAACTATAGAGAGTCACCTATCCAAATCCACTAAAATCTTAGCAGGGCCCAGAGCAGCATGGCCATACAAGTAAGAAGCGAGGACATTGGGCTCCATGCTTACTTATATAGAAGGAACGTGTCAGGAGTAGGAAAGCCATGCTGCCAATGTGGATATCCGTCCCAAAATATAAAGCACATGGTGATGTCTCGTCCAAGATGGGTAAAGGGAAGAGGTAAATTACTACGAAAATCGACAACCCGATCTTTCGAAGCTACGATAAATAACGTCAAAGATATGACAAGAATTGTTGGAAATTCTGACTCTCGAATTTAGGACTCAACCATTACCCATTTCGTCTCAGGTTTCCGACAAGATCGACTCTTTCTAAAAATGTCCCGAGTACGCTAATCGCGCCTACTGTCGCCTATACGTTTGTATATTTACGTACTACAGTGCACCTTGGATCATCATGGTAGATGAGAGGTGGCTAGTCATCACTAGGTTTGACAGGCACACGAGACTAGCGGGAATTTCTCCTTTAGATGTATATATATGTGTCCAATGTTCCCATAGTTGTAAAATATTAAGTCTTCTTTACTTCATCATATTTATCCATATAATATCATACAGAGTATATTTCCCAACAAGAATTGCACAGTGGATTCTAAAGGAAGGATGACTAGAGCAGTTTCGGATGACCGGGGAAATCGAGGCGTTAATCGAGCGAAGAGAGGAAAATGGATATACAGGACAAGGACGGAATTCACACTGGCAACAACAGTGTGAGTGCACTTCCTAGAGGTAAGACTATAATCGCGCAGAGTCAAGTCAGACAGCTAAGGGGGTTTTTACCGCAAGGTTTCCACTTATGCAAATATTAGAGTTTGTAGACACCTGCATGGGCCTATAGGGCGCCAAATTGGGCTAAATGAAATCAAATTTAAAATTTACATCTTGATACTTTCTGATCTAATCTTCAGGAAGTACAATCACGTTTTGATGCTATCTATGTGTACCAATCACGTTCCCTATCTCGACTCGATCTTACGCCGGTCCTATTTGGTTTGGTTTCGTTATTAATGTGCTAGACAAATGGCATCCCCCGCACTCAAATGAGAGCTTGAGCACGGGTGGGCCTGGCTGGATCAGGTTAACTGCCATGCAAGTACATAAACCTCATCCCGCTTGGATGACTGGACTAAATCAGATTTCACCAACTTGATGAACAATTTGATGAACAAGTTGAGTACAACCGTCCAGAGAACCCGGATTTGATGCGGCGAAGCGCAATTTCCTCCTCAGACTCGGTCACAAAGCGTGTGAGCCCTTGAAACCCTCCAAATCTCTAGTATGTCCTTTCCGTTTAACGCCGGTATTTATTCATCCCAGTGACTCCTCACATCATCCAGGAGTTGTTTTTTTCATTAAATGTCTCGTCTAGCTTTTCTCCACTGTAGCTGTATTTAACTCTTATGTCAAATTCGCCGTCTAAGAAGTTTTTTAGCCTTTCCAACCCAACAGCCTTGCACAATCGCCGCCGTCCCCTAACTGTCGAGGCCGACTATTGGTCGAAAAGCTCAAGATTGAGGCACCTATGCGTCAGCTTTTGTCGAATGCTCTAATTGATGTGCCGGCTAAATATCGTACGTAATTCGTCTGTGGCGATTTGTCGCAGGTAGAGTTGTTGGTGCCCTTAGCCGAGTATGGACGAATATAAGCCCGGTACTTCGACCATACCTTCACAGCGCACTAAAGTTGCGACGGGATGAACATCCACTTGCAGCTTTGATTGCGATGATGACTTTTGGATTTTAGATTTCTTGAGCAGGTGGCGGGATGAATTAGCTGGGAAAGATTATCCAAGATAATTCGAGATAGTGTTATGGTTTGACCGTTGTTTGAGCTTGGGTGGATACCTAAGCCTGATACTAAGAATTCTTACGATGAGGCTGTATGGGGGGGAAATGAAGCTGAACAAAACGGCACTACTACTCAGGAGGCTGAAGCGTCATTACAACTTAGTGACACCTGGAAATACGTGGCTGGGTAAGAAGTATTGTGCCTAAGGACAAGTCACTAGTCTGTAGATTCACGAGGAGGATTAACTCTTATAAATACCTGTTAGTAGTAACGAGAGTTAGTTTTTCTCCTCATAGTTTATTAAATCGATTTATTCATCACCAACTCGGTTTCCGTCACAGATAGCTAGTATAATCAGTTTTTTTTTGCATTAGATTTTAATTGCGTATGCAGCTATCTAGCCATCACACAATATCAAAGAAAAGTACAGAACAGATGATTCAACGTAAGAGAAGAGCACTCATGCCTCAGATTTCATTTGCAAGTACCACTGCGAAGTTATGGTGGCTTTTTCTTCACCCACGTCAACCCTCATCTGTGAATACCCACCCAGGGGAACATCTCATAAACCCTGAGTTATCCAGACATGCCTCCGTCATCCATTATCTTTCCTTCGCGCGCAATATGATCTGAGATGTCTCCTTCCCAAGTGGAGTAGGTGCCCAGGCGACTCAAACCGTACCGGAGAACACCACCAGGAGGCGGACAACAACACCTTCCATCGTTGGCTCGTGTTTATAGTGTAAGTTGCTCTCTCGCAAGCGAAGTCTTGGCGCGCTCAAAGCTCAATTCGTAAAACTCCTTGCCAAGATTCGAAATTTCATGACCGTCGAGAATGTATCCATCCTTTGCATCATTTTGTGAACTTATCCTGATCACTCTCACGTCCATCCCAAAGAACTATCTCCCAGATTTTTCCACATACTTTGCTTCATCCTGCGGATATAAATACAGGCGTGGGCGTGTATCTGGTGACCGGCTGAGGCCAGAGAAAGTCGACGAGAGGTATGATCATTGGGATGAGGATGTACATGGTCGTACTTGTAGACTTGATAAGGCTTAGATAGGATTCGATCTCTTTGGGAGTCAAGATTTGACGTGGTGGAGTAATTTGAATTTTTGCCTCGTGGGCCAACTTCTTTGATATTGCGAAATTTGACTGAACTTGGCTCTGGGAGAACATTTTACTCCCAGGTTTATAGAGGATACCGCGTACAGGTGTTCTATCTTTCCCCTCCGATGTTAATCTTGATACCAAGTTTAAGACCGTATTAAGATAATTAATGTCTAGGCCTTAATCCACGCCCAACGATACGAAGTTAAAAAATATCTGTCCATACCTATGTGTCTCACATCATTCCAGCTCTGAGAATTACCTGTATATGTGTGATCATGTCTTTAATGATCCCTTATATTAATTTTTTCCGTAAGACATTATATAGATGCAAGTAATGGAAATGATAGCTCGTTGGATCCAAAAAGTTAGGCCGGCTTAAGCGCATGTTTGCTGGTGGGCACATACAAAATACCAGTTGATTGGGTTGATTTCTTGATTGATCCATATTTCTCATGACTTCGCTCTCTATTCATATTGCACTCTTTCATCAACTTTGGCAACTCGGCGGTGTTTTGGCATATGCGCAGAGCCACTCTGTGCACCCTGTGAGACAGCTGGACTCCCCTTAATCCATTCTAATTCTACCATTCCAATAAATTGAGTAATATAACGGAGTATTAAATAAATTATTTGACTTGGTAAGAATCATTCGTGAATTTAATGATTGCGGTCAGGATTTCTGGCCAGGAACGATTCAGCGCAACTCCTAACCTACCCTCGACAGATAGAAGTCACATAGCTCTCCCCTGTCCCAAGTAATAAGTTCTTAATTCCAAGACAGTTAACCACTCCTAGTGTCTCAGAACTTGTTACTTGCAAATTATTTTTGTTATGATTTAGCGAGGTTTAATTTAACTGTACTTTCTGGATGCACAAAGTGAAGCCTCGATCACATTGGGCTCAACTTCCCTACCGGAACTGCCTGCGTCGGGTTACCCAATGACAGACATGCCGTACGGCAAATCATAAGGTAGTGCAAATAATTCACACAGGCATTAGTAGCTGAAGATTATTAACGTATACAAGACTCTTTCATCTGATAGATTTTCGCACATGATATTGCAACCGAGCTTCTTGTGCGGGAACTTCCGCAATTCCATCGTCTTTTTATATCTATCAAATGAAAATGTAGAAAAATATTTGGGAGCTGTTTAATGTCATTTTATCTTTTCTAAATTATTATTGAACGAAATCTGCAAGCAACGAATCTGCTTGGCTCATCCATCTGAATTAGGCTACGTAAGCCTAGGATCGCCAACAAAGCAGGGGTCACCCGGAATAATAATTATACGGTCCGAGGTAAGTTCCATAGAGATAAAGTTGTCTATGTGGCATTATTAGAGACCAGCTTTCAATTGACCCTTGCTTTTATGTTCTTCGACGTTCTTGTATAAGTAAAGCTACGGGATTGATGTTCTACATCGCAACTGTCGCACAACAACACTCGTATTTCAATTCGGGTTCGAATTCTGATTGATTTGATTGCACTAAATACCTCTCTTCACGCCGTCCCCTAATTCACCTAGCTCTCACCCAACATGATTTATACCTTTGTTTATACAATAACTTTCCTTTTACAAATATTCAGAGCAACTTCTCTGTCCACATCCGCAGTACTCGGTGTCGACTTAGGCACTGAATATATCAAGGCAACACTTGTTAAGCCTGGGATTCCTCTGGAGATCGTTCTTACAAAAGATTCCCGACGGAAGGAACTATCTGTAGTAGCCTTTAAGAACACGAAAAACTCAAAAGCAGGTGAATACCCGGAGAGACTATATGGATCTGACGCAGCAGCTATCGCATATCGTTTTCCTGGAGATGTTTACCCGAACTTGAAGGCTCTACTTGGCCTCAAGATCGAAGATCTGATTGTAAAAGAATATTCACAAAGATATCCGTCACTAAATCTAGTCGCCGATAGTACCAGAGGCACATCCGCATTTCGAAGCGCAGCATTTCTTGCAGATGAGCATCCATGGACCGTGGAAGAAATATTAGCTATGGAGCTTCAGAATATACAAAAAAATGCACAGGCTCTTGCTGGGACAGGAAGTGTCATAAAAAATGTCGTGATAACTGTTCCGGCTTTCTATACAGTGGAAGAGAAAAGAGCACTTCTATTAGCTGCTGATCTTGCTGGACTTCGCGTCTTGGAATTAATTAGCGACGGACTAGCAGTAGGTCTCAACTACGCCACTACACGAACTTTAACTAGCATCGATGAGGGTGGCAAAGCAGAGACGCACCTAGTTTTTGACATGGGCGCTGGATCCACTAAAGCCACAATTTTGAAGTTCCAGGCTAGAACTGTAAAAGATGTTGGAAAGTTCAACAAGACAATTCATGAAGTTAAGGTTCTAGGTACCGGGTGGGACAAAACTCTTGGAGGAGATGCACTCAATACTGTGATTGTTGATCATCTAGTTGATCAATTCATCATAACCCTCGCTAACAAGAAAGTAGTTGTAGCCTCTGATGTAATAAAAGACCATGGGAGAACCGCGGCAAAATTATGGAAAGAGGCGGAGAGAATTAGGCAGGTATTGAGCGCAAACGCAGAAACACAGGCGTCTTTTGAAGGACTTTATGAAGAACACGATTTTAAGTTTAAGATAACTCGCGCCGAATTTGAAGATCTGATCGCAAAGCATATAGCTCGAATTCCTGCGGCAATTCAAAATTCACTAAGTGCCGCTAAGCTAGAAATTAAGGACCTGGACTCTGTCATCCTTCACGGCGGTGCAAGCCGTACTCCGTTTGTCCAGAAAGAGGTTGAGAGATTCATTGGTGACTCAGCTAAGATTAAAAGTAATGTCAATTCTGATGAGTCGGCTGTATTTGGTGCAGGATTTCGTGGTGCAACACTTAGCCCGAGTTTCCGAGTGAAAGAAATTCGTATAAACGATAGCATATCTTTTGCCACCGGTTTCAAATGGACTAATACTCAAGATAAGTTGCAACATCAAATACTCTGGAAACCCACGTCACATTTTGGAGCTGAAAAGCATTACACGTTTAAAAATAAGCGCGATCCTTTTACCTTGGAATTTTATCAACAAATTCAAGTAACAGAGAACGATTCTACAGAGACTATTGAGAAAGAAACACTTACCCTCACAACCTCAAATTTGACAGATTCAGTCATGGCCCTTCAGGATAAGTATGGCTGTGCAGAAGATGAAATTAATCTAAGACTCAGTAGCCAAGTTATTGCTCAATCAGGTGAAGTTGTTATCAACGAATTAATTGTCGACTGCGAAGTTGAAATTTCAGAAGGGAAAGAGAGCGTGGTTGACAGCGTCAAGGGTCTCTTCGGCTTTGGAAAAAAAGATCAAGCTCCACTAACTGAAAGTACGGCACCAGATGTCTCCGAAACTTCCTCGACCGTAATTGAGAACACCTCAACTGCGACTGGATCTTCGGCCGATGCGAAGCCTAGTCAGGATAGCAAGAAAGTCAAGGTTGAGGTTTCTAAGCGCTTTGAAAGAATTCCTATCAGCTACACCATTGAAACTAAAGGACTACCTAAGCTCCCAGCTACAGAAATTACTCGTATGATGGACCGATTAGCACGTTTTGCTGATTCAGATAAATCACGGCGGATGCGCGATGAGGCACTTAACCAGTTAGAAGGTTTTACGTACGAAATTCGAGATCTATTAGATGATGAAAAATTTGTCTCTATTTCAAGCGAGAAAGAAAGAGCTGATCTGAAGACCGGTTCACACAAGGTTAGTGAGTGGCTTGAGGAGGGTGGTGTCGACGCCAGCCGTGAAGAATTACTAGAGAAATTCAAGGAGCTAAAAGACATTGTCACACCTATTGAAAATCGCAAAACGGAATTAGCCAGCCGTCCTGAGAAGGTTGCTGCTCTTCGTCAAGCCCTGAATGAAACAAGTCAAATTATAGCCAGTATTACTGAACAGATTGTAAACTATTCTAAGACTCAAGCCGAATCTATTGCCTCGCAGACAACAGAGTCAGCATCATCACCAACAGAAACACCATCATCTAGTATTGATGATCAGTCGAGCTCAGAAGTCGATGGGGCGTCGACTACTGAATCAGCACCAACCGAACAAAAGACACCTGAGCCACCCGCTTACACCGAAGCAGATCTTTTAAAGCCTCAAGAACTCTATGATCAGTATTCGGCTTGGCTTGTAGAAACACTCGCAAGTCAAGAAAAGCTAAAGGAAAATGATGACCCTGTTCTTCTTTGCAAAGACCTAGAGGAAAAAACTAAGGAATTACAAAATATTCGTATGGAGCTTATCATGAAAGGTGTACAGCATTCATTTCGGGCACAGCAAACTCCCCCAAAGTCTACTAGCGAGAAGCCAGAAGCAACCAAATCCAGCGAAGACAGTTCTGCACAGGACAGCTCTAGCAGCAAAACGGATAGTCCAGAAGCAGAATTTACAATGAGTCCTGGTATGAATATGCCCAGTGAAGAGGAAATCCAAAAGATGCTTGAGAAGATAAAAGCCGACATGCCAGAGCACTTTAAGGGAGATCAAAAGCCGGTGATAAAAATGATGGGTAAGGAAGAAGCAGAAAAACTTGCAGACTTGAATCAGGAAGAAACTACTAAGCATTCTGAGCTGTGAAGTAGATAGATGTTTTGAGCTTGAGGTGATGTATGGATTAGGGTGAAACAAAAAAAGAATTCATTCAGCCAAATCTTTTATTTTGCGAGAGTCTGAGTGATTTTCTGTGATATTTAATGTTCATGAAGTTTTCAACCCGCTATTGTTAAGCTGGGTAACTTTGTGAGCACTCATCTGGTGCGGAAGCTATGATCATCAACATATTCTTAGGCAAGCCATAAATCATGATTTGAGTAACTATTTTACAAGGCATGTCAGACCAGGATTAGAGCCCGATGAGATTCGTATTCCTGAATTAATGTTTCATGATTCATGTAAATTCCATTCATCTAACATGATCGTAACACTATTGTCAGAATAATATGCCAAGCTGGTACCTGACATAATTTGTGATTGCCTCAGGAAAACCTTGGCGTTTTTGGTGATTTTTAGCCAGAAAATACTTGGCGTCCGAGTAACAGACGTGGTGGACTGGTGTTGAGTCGGTTTAGGAGTACATCTTGGCTACGACATGTTTGGATTGTTTCCTGTGATATAAGGAAGCTATTTCTAGATATTATCATCATATGTCAGGTTGTAGATAAGTGTAGATATATAAGCTGATAGAAAGAGGAAGGAAGACAGACAGACAGACAATTACATCTTTTTATTTACTTCAATTGAAAGCTCCTGTGCGAGCTATTCTTCCAGATACCTCTAGTCTCAATCATTACAGCTTCCGAACCAGCTCAAAAGGTTCGACAAGGCAGGGTAGCGTAGCCACTGGTTGTAGCAGCTCAACATGAGCTATCCCAAAATATTTAGAACAAGCCTCACGAGGTCTTACCATTCTTGTGAGAATATTCAATGTATTACATGTTGCCTAGTGAATTTGGTAACTGGAATACCCTTCAAGCTCTTTAAAAGTGACTTTTATCTTTCCACGAACACTTACCAAGATGAGGATCGTATTGGTAATACGGAAAACAGAGATGCGCTAGGTGATATTTAATGACATTTATTGACGATGAATCTGCTCATTGGGTTTTCAAATGTATCCATGTTGGAATACACTTGGTCTATCCTAGTAATCCCGATAATATGTGGTCCTGGCCATCTGGTGTTTGGCGAACGAAGATTGCTAAAACTATTTAATATTGTTTGTTTGCGTTTATTGTCTTACTAAGTTTATGATTATACATGGATATGAGGTTCCTTTTTGCCCACAGGCTGGGAGTATCTATTCCTCAGGTAATGTGTTGCCCCTTATGCCTCCTTCACAACTCCTTTTCAATAGTAATACCTCTAAAAATTTTCATCTGAGTACATAAGAAGAGAAGCCGTTTTGCCATTATTATTCCCTTCTCTAGCCAACGAATCGATGGTCATTTGCATTATGAAGCTGCAGGGAAAAGTCTCGAAAACCACTGGATGCCGGGCCCTTCCACTAACAACATCACGACTAAATCTGGGGACATGGCTGTTATTTTGAAGGTCCGAAGAGACCGGATAGCCAGACGCAGTAGACCAGTGTATATCTAAAAGCTTTTCCGAATCTTCGTGGCCTCCCCCTTGGTCTTCCACTGATTCATACCGCAGGACGAATCGAAGGTTATGAAATGGTATTAGAAAAGTCTTGGTCGAGAGGAAATGCCGTAAAGTAGCCTAGCTTAGAGTCCAAAAGTAGTTACGAATGTAAGGGTTTTCGCGTTACTCATATACTTTGGATGCCCTCCTGACTAGAATTATCGGAAGGATGAGTTACGGAGAAGATGTTGTCGACGAATCGAAATCTGTTGTTCAAGGGCGGAAGGATCTCTTAGTTTGTTTTTTACGGCCTTTTTGCTTGACTGCCGGTGGATAGTACGTGTTGCGATGCGAGGATAACTTTCGTAACAACCTTGGTAGCATTTTGCGGCGCAATTTCTTTCCTCGTTCCCAGCATCATTGACTTCGTCGTAATCGTCGAAGAAGTAATGGAATGCGTACCTTTGAGAGAGGTGGAGATGACACAGGTCAAAGTTAAAAAGTTCTTGCTAAATCTAGACTCTGTAGACTCTCCGGTGAGAGCTTCTGGGTTTTCGTCCCCAGCACTATTGTTATTTGCTGCTGTGAACAGAAGATCCCGCACGGGCTATCAATTGGGATTAAGACGGGTCTAGCACCTGTGTTTAGAAGAGTGGTCCCACTCACTTCCCTTCATCCTCCATGGTGTCTTGAGATTCCTTCTACCAAAATTTCCTGGAACTATGCAGTGGGTCACACATCAATGAATAGGTGAAATCTTACGTATCCAATCCTTCTGCCCCTACCGCTAAATGCTTCTACAGTGTCGTTGAATCAGAATTTAAATAGGAGGCCTTGGCCGAAGTCGTTTCGTTATTAGCAGAAAACTCGGTATCGCTGGAAACGTCCAATTTTCATCTTCCAATGCAAATGTTTTACGAAATGAATAGTTCGAGATTAAGAGGCAACAGGCGATAGAACTCGAAGCCCTCTCACGTCTTCAATTTACGTTCGTCAGATGTACGGCTTGAAACACCCCGCGAGCTAGATGTAAGTGATGGAACGAGGCAGAATGTCCTCTAGGGACTATGGAATGAACAACATGATGCTCAGAGATAGCCCCTTCCCACGCTAATGCACTAAAGGAAAATATTGGAGTTCACCAATGAACACTTTTGATGTGAATTATGTGTATGCTGCTGTTTAATAGTTTGATTTTGATTTGATTTTTTATTTTGATTGAATTTAACGTCGTGCCTATCTACAGCTCGTGGCTACTGTCACGTACTGGAAGGCCTAGTCCCTACAGAACTACCCGACGCTCTATTTTTCTTTTTTGCATCAGATTTTAATTGCGTATGCAGCTATCTAGCCATCACACAATATCAAAGAAAAGTACAGAACAGATGATTCAACGTAAGAGAAGAGCACTCATGCCTCAGATTTCATTTGCAAGTACCACTGCGAAGTTATGGTGGCTTTTTCTTCACCCACGTCAACCCTCATCTGTGAATACCCACCCAGGGGAACATCTCATAAACCCTGAGTTATCCAGACATGCCTCCGTCATCCATTATCTTTCCTTCGCGCGCAATATGATCTGAGATGTCTCCTTCCCAAGTGGAGTAGGTGCCCAGGCGACTCAAACCGTACCGGAGAACACCACCAGGAGGCGGACAACAACACCTTCCATCGTTGGCTCGTGTTTATAGTGTAAGTTGCTCTCTCGCAAGCGAAGTCTTGGCGCGCTCAAAGCTCAATTCGTAAAACTCCTTGCCAAGATTCGAAATTTCATGACCGTCGAGAATGTATCCATCCTTTGCATCATTTTGTGAACTTATCCTGATCACTCTCACGTCCATCCCAAAGAACTATCTCCCAGATTTTTCCACATACTTTGCTTCATCCTGCGGATATAAATACAGGCGTGGGCGTGTATCTGGTGACCGGCTGAGGCCAGAGAAAGTCGACGAGAGGTATGATCATTGGGATGAGGATGTACATGGTCGTACTTGTAGACTTGATAAGGCTTAGATAGGATTCGATCTCTTTGGGAGTCAAGATTTGACGTGGTGGAGTAATTTGAATTTTTGCCTCGTGGGCCAACTTCTTTGATATTGCGAAATTTGACTGAACTTGGCTCTGGGAGAATATTTCACTCCCAGGTTTGTAGAGGACACCGCGCGTGCATCACATCAGTACTCTAACTTTGTATATTATGACTTAATTTCCTCCTTGCGGGTATACGTATCATCATAAATATTTAATGAAAAATGGCTTGAAATTAACCGGGCAAGCTCCTGTTTGCAATTAGTGCAAATTCTTTATTGGCCGTTGAGGCGAGATTTATTTTATTCATCCATTTAGGTCCTATTTGAGTTTCTAACTGTGTGGGACTGACTTTTTAAATACAAATTTTCTCTTTCATTCTAATAGGGGGATTCCTTGATTTGATGTTGGGATCCCCATAACTGGTTCACCAGAGGGGCACTTTGTACTTGACAAAAGAAATTTATATAAAAAATAAAAAATACAATAAAGACCGTTGGAATTACTACGGGTTGGTTTCACGATCGATCGTAATGATTCGGTAAAGAGTTGTACGATTCTGTGTTGTTCTAAAAGCTCATACTGACTACTACACTTTACAGGATTCACAGCATAGCTGTGAATCCTGACTAGCGTATCCATGCTGATTTCGTCACGTGATACACGCATGATGACACATCTACTTTTGTGTATGTTTTTAATTGTACTACTTGAGTCCATGACTATCTAGCACATTGGGCTCCTCTCTTACCCAAGCCACACCTTGTACAGTGCTCCTATCCTCTTTTATTACTTGAAAAATCATTGCTATATTCCCCTTGATGAATAGTCATGCAGCTCAGTGTTTACCCGTGGAATTCAGCCACCTTTTCCACGGAACCTTCTACCCAAAAAAATATAAATGCTAGCAACGGAAACTGCGTGCGCGGGAAGAAATCTCAAAAAACCTGCAGTCCCAGCCAGGCGAGGCCTAGACACCGGGACCACATGAGGTGCGCATATTCATCTATATCTCCCTTCTTTGTAACAGTCGAGGTCGACTTGATCCAATTCACCATCTCCGTTTCGGGTGCTGGGTACGCTCCGGAAACTCATCGGATGGCTTTTCCTCCATGATCAAGGGTGGGTGACGAGTAGGGCTCCGACCCTACCATCTGATCTTATCGTGGTTAGCTTTATGATAACGGTGATAGGGGGATGTGTTGAGAGATGAAGACGATACAGACGGCGAAAGCGATTTGGAATCCTCGTCGAAGTGAGGACTTTGTTATTGAATCTCGGCTCTGCAGACTCTACAGTGAGAGCTGGAGGTTCGTAGGGGACACCGCTGACAGATGAAGAGAATAGTTCCCCCACATCTACTTTTACGTCTTAGATAAACCGACAAAGATAATCAAGCCACACATTTCATAGTTATTTCCCTTCATATGTGTTTCTAACATCTTAGTCACATTCCTATGATGCCTTTTTTTCAATTTATGACACCCCAAATCAGGCCATTCTCCTTCACTGAACCATTTCAAGGTTGCAATGTGAGTATTCCTCAGGCATCTAGTGTTAGTTACATTCCCTTGGTTGTATTAAGGAGTAATTCCATTGTTGGTCTTTCCACTCTAAGGTCCTCAAGTAATTTCTTTTGTTCATTCTTATACTTAGCACACTCTAGTAGGAGATGTCTAGGTGTTTGTTTTGCTGTTCTATTTCAATTGCAGAGACCTGTGCTATGTCTCTTTATTTTGTGCACAGATCCTCGGAAATATCCATGGCCAAGTTTTAGTTGTTAGAAGGAGCTTGCTATCTTTCTGGGTACTCCTGAAGGTAGCTGTATTTTTTGAACAAATCTGGGTTGAAAATTGGCTGAGTAGGTGGATGGATTGTTTTCCCATGCCATTGTTTTGTATTTGAGATAGTCTTCTTGCCATTCATTCTTTGTCATTTGGGAGAGGTTTGATCTTATGGATGCTAGACTACAAGGAACCAGACATGGGAAAATTTTGGTTCCTTGTTTAGCTAGTCTATCAGCAATTTCGTTTCTTTCAATGTAGAGATATCCTGGCACCCACTCAATGGAAATTTCTTGGACTCCATTCTGAATAGCTAAAATGGCTGCTTGACTGGCTCTAATTTGCCAGGTTTGTCCAGGCTTTGGTAGATTTGTTTGCAATCTTTAAATAGCTGCTTTGTTGTGTAAAAATATTTTAATTTTATATCCCTGAAGAGATATCTGTTGTCTTGTATACTCAAGAGCCTGACAAATGCTTTCTAGCTCTCCATTGTATACAATCTGGTCTGGTCCAATATTTTTGTATGATTCATAGACTACTCTGTCTTTGGCAAGGTCTATTGCTACTAGTCCTACTCTCATACCTTCAGTCTTGAAGAATGAGGGAGCATCTGTGTAAATATATATCACTTTAGTTCCCCTATCCATTTCAAGACTGCGGTTATGAATTCTAGCAACTTCTGCTTTTTGATGGTTCAGAATGATATAATGAATTAAGGGATTGGGGAGAGAGGAATATGGTGCTGAGTAATATGTTTTCTCTAAATTCTCCGGCCAAAGACCCTTAACTGATGTCCATAGAAGACATGATTGGGTTGGTTTCTTTTGATTTCTGGACTCATTTTCATCTTCCTCCTTGTTATGCACAAGGATGTTTCTGACTGGATGACTCTGTTGGAGAGTGTTGAGGCGAGATGGTGAGTGGTTAGAAAGGGGTTTGGGACCCAGATGATAATGATGAGAGAGACATTGTCGAGAAGTTGTCAAATGGAGATGTGTATGTGTTTGCTTTCGACTTCGATTCGCATTCGGATCTTCTTGGCTATCCCAGATATGCAGAGCAAACTTAGCGATTACACCGGCACCACTGGAAGGTGAAGAATTCGTCTTTATAGGTCGTTGGACGGGCAAAGACGTTAGTCTAATCGCAAACGGAGCTAGCCTCAATAATTTCAAGCCATTTGTCATTAAATATTTACGACGCTACGTATACCCGCAAGGATGCACGGAAGAGGTTATACGCCGTAAGGGTTAACCGCGAGTGGTACTGGCAAATGAAATCCGAAGCATGAGTGCTCTTCTCGTAAATTGAGTCATCTTTTTAATGGTTTTTCTCTGATATTACATCATGGCTAGATAGCTGCATACGCCATGAAAGTCTGATGCAAAAAAAAGAGGAGCCTTTTCTCTTCATCTACATTACGTCACCTCCACAGAAAATAAATTATTTGCGAACGTGCTAACTGGAAATTTTTTCCAAAAACTGCAAAATTCAGTGCTCTCTTTATACCGACATTTAGACTATATTGAAGGAGAAATCTACCCTTCTCGAAAGTTTTGAATATTCGGCCAGCAGGGAGCTGTAAAATTATGTTTACCGAGGAAAGTGGCTACCTACTTTCCAACGCTTAGTAAAAATCTCTCCATTATTCGCGCCTCTAAGAAATTCAGATGTCATGTGGAAATATCAAATTTTATATTAAGCGTGTCAACCGTGAAGATTCATGGTCCGACTTTTATGTGCCGTGTTGTATGATAGAGGGTGTTATGAGATGATAAGTATTTTTTAACAAACGATGTGCCAGCTCACAACATAGCCCTAAGGTCTCGTTTTGGCTAGCTCAGTCAGTATAAACTACCGGACGTGTCGTGGACTATTAAGAATTTTACCCGGTATTGATTGGCTGGGATGACTTGCGTGCCAAGACTTGTCTGTGCTTGAAATTTAGAAAATACTCTCGGTTCTTCTGCAAAGTGATCTTCAATATATATTACATCAGCATATTCTCACGAAAGTGAGCTCCCTCAAAGAAATTTTTAGATTATTTCGCAGCATTACTTGCGTACAGGGACTGTTGTCTTTGGCCCCCTACATGAAATTATTAACATTAGAAGCTCCCCTGACTAGCGATAGACTGAAAGTCGACTATGTAGACCTTGCTGTGAGAGCTAGAGGTTCAAAGATGGCGTCGTTGGCTGGTATTCAGTCTTCATCTGCAAAGCTGACTCTCGCAGGTCATGGATCCGATCAATATGCCAGTGAGAAGTGGCATGTGCTAATGTATCACGTGTGAATATCATATTATCGAAGCCCTAGTGCACGGTGTTTATAGCCACAATTCGAGCTGCTACAAAATTCTGCCTGCCTGGGCCGTGAACAACATAAAATAGGATACGTCTGATGATTATCAGGTTGGTCTAGGCTTATTCAGCGTATCTTAATTGCGGATGCACAGTTACCAGGCTATTCTACACGCCTTATTGGAGCTTCTAGGGTCGCAATGCCAAATGAACTCCTTGAATAAAGTAGATTTGCCCATTCGAAGCATTAAACATTTGTTCTAAATATATACATAATTCCGAAAATACATTTAATCTCTTTAGAAGGCTACACAACGCGTTTTCTTCCTCAGTCTCAATCTTATCGAATAGAAGTAGTGCATCATGACGACTGTAATGCCAAATGAACTTTGTTAGAGGATGTCCGGTTGCTGTCAGCCTAAACGTACGTGGCTTGTGAAATGACATTTGGCTGACACAGGTGACAGTGCTCGGGCCACTAGACTCAAGGTGGTCTGTAAGCCCACCTAAAAGTCCTTCTTTACTTCTGCTCGTCTGGAAATGGACCATGAACACTAAGCATCAGTTATTAGTTCGAAGACGGATTTGCAAAGACTATAGTGGTTTGGACAGTCGATCAAGTGTCTAGTCCAGTAATAAGGTAAGGACCCTACAAGGTACTTGCATCCAAGCAAAAGCTGGCAAGATCTCACATGAGCGTCGAATATGGTACAAGACCAATGGTTGCCATCTACACTCCACAAAAATCGTTGATTTGATCGTTCCAGAAAATATAGTCGACTCAAGTTGCCATCGAGCTACAAATTTCCGAAAGCAGTGACGATTCTGTCGACTGAAAACGTTAAATATTGGGAAAAGAGCTGCACTAAAGGCCGCTTCACAGCCAATAAGCTTTCTGCGCACGCATTTTTGTCCATTCATTATCCTGTTGAGTCTGTGACTAGATAAGGACATTTCGCACACACATGGAGACGTCAATAATTGCATTCGGTATCTTACTCGGCTTTCGCATTAAATGTTCCTGACATATGAGCTGTCAAGGTCACCTAGCCGTACTGAACGGTAACGATAACGGTGTTTATGGCTCTAGTCCCGCCAAATGGGGATTAAAGCAAACCGGCTTTTCGCCTTCCGCATCATTTCAATTGACCGTTTCATAAGGTAGGGGGAGCTCCTACATCCCGCACATGATTTGCGTCCTCGTTCTCGTAACCCTGAGGTCGACCAATGACTATCTAGACTGGTTCATCCTGGTAGTCAATGGTTCATAAAAGTAAGTGACAAGGTACGTACTACTTTGTCCTCAGGCATCCGAGCTGCGTTAAAGAATAACTCTAACCTAAATTAGTTTGGTTGCCTTAGCATTGAATAGGTATCTGTGCTTATGGTTGGCCAGATTTATACTGTGCCAGTCAGCTGACCTTAATTATGCCATGATGCTCTGACTCCTGTCGGTCTGAGGTCTATTAAGCTTCCGTCATACCCTTACCCTTACCTCAAAACGGATAAGATTTGCAAAGAGCCCCCTTATCCATCCTGGACAATCAGTATCAAGTTCAGATCGACCCCCGTAGAGTGTTATTTTTGCTTTTCACATACCTATAGCATACTTAGCGGGTGGTGTTAGATGCTACTCACGTATACGTAGTTCTCATTGACCATGTGTGGTTTGAACATATAGCTACCGCATCGATGGGACGTCGAGTGCTGTACCAATCTGCAGTCCTCATCTTACCAACTTCAGAATGAGGTTTTCAACTCTGCCTTTCGTCCTCAGCATAATTTCCATCCATGCTAAGGAACTGCTTTCCCGTCAAACAGAGTGGCAGGTCGGTCAGCCCGTCTCAACCAGCAGTGGTACTGTCACGGGACATGACGGAGGCAACGATACCAAGGTTTCCGAATATTTGGGAATCCCATTTGCGGAACCTCCAATCGGGAAATTCAGATTTGCAGCTCCGAGGAAATTCGTGGGTACCGCACAGCTGAACGGGACAAAGTTTGTGAGTTGATCAAAGCCGAATTATCCAAATTTCCTCACTGAACTAACGATTGAAAAGGGGCCATCCTGTCAGGTTAAGCCAGGCTCCAGTTCGCCAACTCCAGATGAGCTCGCCAAAGCCAATCTCACGGCAGAAACCGCTATTGTTGATAACTTATTTACCGACCACAACCAGGTGAATGAGGACTGCTTGTACCTTAACGTGTGGACGAAGCCACAGGTTGGTGAAAAGAAAAAAGCTGTACTTGTGTGGATCTACGGTGGCGCGTTTAACACCGGAAGCTCCTCCATCAACGCTTACAACGGTCGAAACTTAGCAGCACTTGAAGACGTCGTTGTTGTATCCCTTAAGTGTGCTGCACCCTTAACTGTCAAATAATCTACTAACCTTAACAGCTATCGTCTTAATATTTTTGGCTTCCCAGCCCATCCAAATGGGACCTACAATGTGGCATTCCTTGACCAGAGGCTTGCCATCGAATGGGTTCGCGACAACATTGAGAAATTTGGAGGAGATTCTTCAAGGATATCTATCTTTGGACAATCAGCAGGTGCATCATCAATCGACTTTTACACGTATGCGTGGGAATCCGATCCAATAGCCTCTGGATTTATTATGGAATCTGGAACGGTGTTTAGTTGGGGTCTTCCAAATTCTGCAAGCACCACTACTGCTGCGTGGTTCAGCACTTCCCAGAAGTTAGGTTGCGGAAACTCTACTAGCCCCTCCAATAGTGTACTCTCATGCATGCAAAGCAAAAGCCCCGAAGAAATTTACGCTGCCATTCCATCTGGCCCAGCTAGTGAGATATTAGGCTCATTCGGACCTACCATCGATAACAGCATCGTATTTTCCAATTATTCAGGCCGAGCCCCTGCAAATGTTCCCGTCCTACTTGGGAACAATGACTATGAAGCTGGTTTATTCCGGACAGAATTTTCTATGCACGGGATTGAACTATCTGAAACTTTCTGGACTGACTTCAACCTTCAAGAATTTACCTGTCCATGTTCCGACCGGGCTAATTCTTCCATTGCTGCAAAGGTACCGACATGGAGGTACCGATATATGGGAGTATACCCAAATCTTGAAATATCTCCCAAAGCAGGCGCTTGGCACGGCGCTGAGATCCCCCTCATTTTCAACACAGCGCCTGAAAATATGTCATCGACCGCTGAGGAAATTGCGACAGGCAAATACATACGAGGGGCATGGTCCGCCTTTGCTAAAAATCCCTCAGATGGTCTCACAAAGTATGGATGGCCCAAATACGACCCTACCCAAGATACCTTAGTTCGCATTGGTCGCAAAGATATTCCCGGGCCTAGTCTCATAAATCCCTACCGCTATGATGCAGACTGTCCATTTTTTAATGTCAGTAGTACCGATCCGTCAAAATTCCCTGACGTTCCAGACTATGGAGCTAGTGTGACACCCACAGGGACTGGTGGTGAAGCTCCTTCGGCTACGGGATCAACGATACCTCCCATTTCTTCAGCCAACTCTGCCAGCACACTCAATACAAGAGCTGTGGGTGTCTTTGGTAGCACAAGTCTAATGATGATTTTTGGTAGGCATTTTTAAACATAACAAACACTTCCCACTTGTCTTTTCCCTTTGTAAATGAATTTGTACGGGCGGGTCTTGTCTTAGCGCAGCCTAATGGCTATAAAACGTTCATCAACTCATGTACTTCAACACACATCCCAGTTCATTATTATATCAAGTAGAAGAACAGCAGGTATTAATGTAAATAGAAAGTTTATCGATATTTTTTTCCCAATAGTCCACGATAGCAATTTGGCCCTCTAGTCATCAAACTTGTGCCTTTTAATGCGGTTGTGTTGGTCTGATCTCTGATTCTTGTCCAATTGTGCATCGTCACAATCGACGGCCTGCGCGCAAATCGTTAATACAAGGTGAGGAGAGCTGATGCGGGCCCAAGTATAATCAGCTCTGGTCACATGTTTAAGTGATACACGAGGAGCAAGGAGTTAGGCAGGCATCGTAGGTGATCCGAGCGTGTATGTACATCCAAAAGGGCGGTGTTTCAGGTCGTATCTAAGTAGAGAATGTCAGTGAACATATCATTGTTTGAGATTGACCCAATAACTTTTGCTGATATCAATCTAAATACAAGATTCATGATTTAATTGTTAGACATAGCAGGACTGTACTGTAGCTAGACTTGCTAATGGTAACCACATATTTTTGGATTCTATGGCATGTTATCCTCTGGCGGGTAGCCCAGGGATCAATGAGCTACTAGCCAAAATTAACATAGGACCGGGGGTACGCTAGAGGGAATACGGTAAGTATTTGGCTGCTCACTCATGTACTCTTATTAGTGTTGTCAATTTGGACAAGGCCGGGCTGTCTGAGACTATGATCGCGCGGGAATACCATGGTATTTAGCGAAGGCAGTAATTCTTCCGAAGATCCACGCCTATGTCGCATTCATGTGCTGCATAGCTGTTAAGGTGGGCCAGGGAATCGGGCTTTAGTGTATCCACTAGTATATGGGACGTGCGCCGTTCCCACTCATCGGCATGCAGTCTTTTTACATTATTTGTCTTGTACGAGGCCATCTGGTCGTGGTACAAGATCAATTCTTTGTATTCGTGTGATGGTTCATTTGACATCGCAAACTCCCATTCTCTGTATTTCGATCGAAAAATATCACCATGATGTATCTTTGTTCACGCTGGAGGGCCGACCAGCGCTCGCCAGTACCCACCGACGGAAAGCATTAAGCCCTCAGTTTCCCAAACGTGCCTTCATCATTTTGGAAAATCGGCACAGCGAGAAATGGCATGGAGTATTACTGGGTTCGAGGGCTAGCCGGTGCAGTGGTACAACATCCGGGCCGTACTCCCTAGTAGATTCTGGGTAGCATGAACGCCTACCCCATTTGAGACGGCAGAAAGGTGGTTAGCGTCCACCAAGACCCACAAGCCACGCTATCTCGCGTGGTGTGTATTTTATTTTGCATCAGATTTTAATTGCGTACGCAGCTATCCAGCTATGACACAATATCAAAGAAAAGTACAGAAAAGATGACTCAATTTACAAGAAGAGTACTCATGCCTCAGATTTCATCCGCGTGGTGTGTGTGTGTTTTATTTATCGTGCCAGGCTCACACCCTCCATCCAATGGACATGACACGCATGGAGGACATGTAGAATACAAGTTCCTCCATTCTCCAGCAAAGCCCATCCGGCGCCTGACTTTTCCAAATACGTGCCTCAAGCTAGTTATATCGGGTCGAATAGGTAGGGACGCATTCACCATATTCCTAAGACCATGTATCGAGGGAAAACCTTCGTGGGAAAACCTCAATAATTCCTCCTGTACTCTTTCACGACGAGCAGCCGTAGTCCCCCCTTAAACAGGCCGTGTAGGAATCCAACCTACTGCTTCTAGAAAGCAAATCCAGCACCCGAGCAACTGTGCCAACAGCCAGTTGAAAATCACATATCATTCCTCCCAAATTCTCCCCTGCATTGCGCTCAACCCCCATTTGATAGGGCTGAAATTCCGAAATCGAGAGCTCAAATCCGAGGCATCGGTGCCCCAGCTTTTGTCGTACATTGTTCGTTGTCTGAGTGAGGCTTCTTCGTTCGCGCCGTCCTTGGAATGTGTCGAAAAGTTGAGAATGTTGATGTCGCGGTCGAAGTGCTTGTGTAAAATGAGGCCGAGCAATTGCCCAGTCCTGCACACAATGTTAGTAAGGTTGAAAGCAAAAGGAATTTTACCTTTGATTTTGGAGGGTTGTTGGTGAGTCGTAAAGTCCTCCCGGTCAATTCAATCGGGAAGTTGTTAGAAGACTGAATAGAAGAGACCCAAACTTCAACTTTTGATCTATCGTGCTGGGAACGGAACATAGCCCATGTGTCAATCGAAATCGACTAAGCCACGCTCAGCAAGCTATCTCACGTGGTTTTATTGTATTTTTTATTGTATTACTTGAGTCATAGACTATCTAGCACACTAAGTTCCTCTCTGACCCAGGCTACACCTTGTACAGTGCTCCTATCCTCTTTTATTACTTGAAAAATCATTGCTATATTCCCCTTGATGAATAGTCATGCAGCTCAGTGTTTACCCGTGGAATTCAGCCACCTTTTCCACGGAACCTTCTACCCAAAAAAATATAAATGGTAGCAATGGAAACTGCGTGCGCGGGAAGAAATCTCAAAAAACCTGCAGTCCCAGCCAGGCGAGGCCTAGACACCGGGACCACATGAGGTGCGCATATTCATCTATATCTCCCTTCTTTGTAACAGTCGAGGTCGACTTGATCCAATTCACCATCTCCGTTTCGGGTGCTGGGTACGCTCCGGAAACTCATCGGATGGCTTTTCCTCCATGATCAAGGGTGGGTGACGAGTAGGGCTCCGACCCTACCATCTGATCTGATCATGGTTAGCTTCATGATAACGGTGATAGGGGGATGTGTCGAGAGATGAAGACGATACAGACGGCGAAAGCGATTGGGAATCCTCGTCGAAGTGAGGACTTTATTACTCAATCTCGGCTCTGTAGACTCTACAGTGAGAGCTGGAGGTTCGTAGGGGACACTACTGACAGGTGTTGAGAATAGTCCCCCACCAGCTGGCGTAAGATCAGCTGTCTCAGAGGCACTCGGTACCGCAGCCAACAACATCACGTTGGTTCAGCGGGTCAAAACAGGCTTTGCTCTAACAGCAAAGGATGAACTCGCTCGGAAAAAGCTCCTTGATTCCTTCTTAGAACGGAGAGAATCAGGAATTAAATTGGAACCAGCGTCAAATCTGGTTGCCCTACTAATTGCCACCGTCCCGCTGAGAATTAATATACTCACAGGTTCCGTTTTCATCACGGAAAAGATGGTCGCCGACGAAGTCACGCAAGTGATCAAATCAGTTCCTTTTCTTGTTCGTCCTCATGGGACGAGCAAACCTGGGGCGCCATACTAGAACTGGCAAGCGCTCTTCCCTCCCGAATCCACGCCCCGACCTGGATTTCGCCTCTTCGATGACTCCGGAGCTGCAAAGCTCTTCCAACCTCGTCGAAAAATAGTTTAGTGCAATCGATGTCTTGGCTTTCATGCCTCACGCGGCTGCTCCCGCGCTCCGGCTTGCTAGAACTACGGATCAAAAAAGCATCCTGAAACGGAGTGCAAAGCCCCCACACGGTGTCGAGACTGTGGGGGACCTCATTGATCGGACTTGCGGTACTGCAAAGCCAGACCCAGCAAGTTCGGCCCGGTGAAAAAAGAGCAGCTTGCGATGATTCGTAAGATGGAGCAGAAAAATCACGCAGATTATACTCGCATCAGAGCTGCAGCCGAAATAGCCATCCAGGCGATTCACGGCGCGAAGAATGACGTCTATATGTCAGACAGATCAGGTTTTGGGATTCTGGAATCCGAAGAGGAGGTTTAAGGTTGCGGCCAGCCTCATTGAAGTCGTCGAGGCTTCAACACACTAACAGTAGGACGCCAGATGGAAAAGGGTGCCTGCGAGCTCATCTTCTGCTCTCAGCGAGGGTCAGAAAGTGTCACTTGGAAGATGTGACGGGAAAGGGAACGGGCGAGAAGCGCAGGATCCGGACCTACAGGGATTTCTTCTAAATTTGATTTTTGATTTTGATTTAAGTTTTTGATTATAGTATTGCTATTAATACCATTATTTATGTGGAAGTTCACGCGGTTGGAGTGAGTTGGGCCTGTATACAGCGATCCTTACCGGCTCCGCCGGTCCTGTACCAATAGTAGGATGTAGAGCTTTTTACTTTAGCTCAGGACTTTAAAAATACAACAACAAAACACACACACTGCACAATTCAACCCATCACACTGTCCCTACCGTGACTGTAGACACCTTTCGACCTCTTTCTAGGCGCCGGATCCATCAGAGAATCTTGCTCAAGTTTTCTGAGAATTCCATTCCACGACCTAGTTTTGAGCTTGCAAATAAATATTAATCGCAGTGGAGGCGAAGGGCAGACTTTGGGACCAATCGCTTATAAACAATATCTACCTTTCCGTCCTATCTTAGACAGAACGATATTCTCAAGTAGAGCTCCCGCAAAAGACTAAGAAGTTTTAGGGCACATCCTCTATCTAGGCCAAGGCAGAATTAAAAACCTCAACACGAAGCTACCGTCATAATTTATTAGGCTGAAAACTTACTGCCTAGCTATAAGAGGCCAGGAATCTTATTTAACATCAATACTACCATTGATATTGTTCGCTTAGGACGACGTCGCTGAACGCCATCGGTGGTTTCAGCACTAATACCCAATCCTAATCTGCTAATGGCGATAAGAGGAATCTCCCAATCACTTCTACTTCTACCATATCAAGCAGTACCACGCTCAGCCACGCAATAACCTGGATAACTCTATAATCTTACCTTAAGCTTTTATTTTAGTGGTGAGGGTTTCTATGATTAATAGCTGGGTGCGTCCCATATCTTCCTTTAAAAGAGACAACGCCAAGTCTGATTGACACAATGTTATATCTTATAGATGATGTTAGAGGAAGATAATTGAGAGAAGAATCAGCTATACCGTTCCAAGGCTCTCTAGCCTTTCAATC